ATAGTACTGTAGTAAACAGTATACACGTGGTCACAACACTATAGTACTATAGTAAACAGTATACACGTGGTCACAACACTATAGTACTGTAGTAAACAGTATACACGTGGTCACAACACTATAGTACTGTAGTAGACAGTATACACGTGGTCACAACACTATAGTACTATAGTAAACAGTATACACGTGGTCATAACACTATAGTACTATAGTAAACAGTATACACGTGGTCACAACACTATAGTACTGTAGTAAACAGTATACACGTGGTCACAACACTATAGTACTGTAGTAGACAGTATACACGTGGTCACAACACTATAGTACTATAGTAAACAGTATACACGTGGTCACAACACTATAGTACTGTAGTAGACAGTATACACGTGGTCACAACACTATAGTACTATAGTAAACAGTATACACGTGGTCACAACACTATAGTACTGTAGTAAACAGTATACACGTGGTCACAACACTATAGTACTATAGTAAACAGAATACACGTGGTCACAACACTATAGTAAACAGTATACACGTGGTCACAACACTATAGTACTGTAGTAAACAGTATACACGTGGTCACAACACTATAGTACTGTAGTAAACAGTATACACGTGGTCACAACACTATAGTACTATAGTAAACAGTATACACGTGGTCACAACACTAGTACTATAGTAAACAGTATACACGTGGTCACAACACTATAGTACTGTAGTAAACAGTATACACGTGGTCACAACACTATAGTACTATAGTAGACAGTATACACGTGGTCACAACACTATAGTACTGTAGTAAACAGTATACACGTGGTCACAACACTATAGTACTATAGTAGACAGTATACACGTGGTCACAACACTATAGTACTGTAGTAGACAGTATACACGTGGTCACAACACTATAGTACTGTAGTAGACAGTATACACGTGGTCACAACACTACAGTACTGTAGTAAACAGTATACACGTGGTCACAACACTATAGTACTGTAGTAGACAGTATACACGTGGTCACAACACTATAGTACTGTAGTAGACAGTATACACGTGGTCACAACACTATAGTACTGTAGTAAACAGTATACACGTGGTCACAACACTAGTACTATAGTAGACAGTATACACGTGGTCACAACACTATAGTACTGTAGTAGACAGTATACACGTGGTCACAACACTATAGTACTGTAGTAGACAGTATACACGTGGTCACAACACTATAGTACTGTAGTAGACAGTATACACATGGTCACAACACTATAGTACTGTAGTAAACAGTATACACGTGGTCACAACACTATAGTACTGTTGTAAACAGTATACACGTGGTCACAACACTAGTACTGTAGTAGACAGTATACACGTGGTCACAACACTATAGTACTATAGTAAACAGTATACACGTGGTCACAACACTATAGTACTGTAGTAAACAGTATACACGTGGTCACAACACTATAGTACTGTAGTAAACAGTATACACGTGGTCACAACACTATAGTACTGTAGTAAACAGTATACACGTGGTCACAACACTATAGTACTGTAGTAAACAGTATACACGTGGTCACAACACTACAGTACTGTAGTAAACAGTATACACGTGGTCACAACACTATAGTACTGTAGTAGACAGTATACACGTGGTCACAACACTATAGTACTGTAGTAGACAGTATACACGTGGTCACAACACTATAGTACTGTAGTAAACAGTATACACGTGGTCACAACACTAGTACTATAGTAGACAGTATACACGTGGTCACAACACTATAGTACTGTAGTAGACAGTATACACGTGGTCACAACACTATAGTACTGTAGTAGACAGTATACACGTGGTCACAACACTATAGTACTGTAGTAGACAGTATACACATGGTCACAACACTATAGTACTGTAGTAAACAGTATACACGTGGTCACAACACTATAGTACTGTTGTAAACAGTATACACGTGGTCACAACACTAGTACTGTAGTAGACAGCATACACGTGGTCACAACACTATAGTACTATAGTAAACAGTATACACGTGGTCACAACACTATAGTACTGTAGTAAACAGTATACACGTGGTCACAACACTATAGTACTGTAGTAAACAGTATACACGTGGTCACAACACTATAGTACTGTAGTAAACAGTATACACGTGGTCACAACACTATAGTACTGTAGTAAACAGTATACACGTGGTCACAACACTATAGTACTGTAGTAAACAGTATACACGTGGTGACAACACTATAGTACTGTAGTAAACAGTATACACGTGGTCACAACACTATAGTACTAAAGTAAACAGTATACACGTGGTCACAACACTATAGTACTGTAGTAAACAGTATACACGTGGTCACAACACTATAGTACTGTTGTAAACAGTATACACGTGGTCACAACACTAGTACTGTAGTAGACAGTATGCACGTGGTCACAACACTATAGTACTATAGTAAACAGTATACACGTGGTCACAACACTATAGTACTGTAGTAAACAGTATACACGTGGTCACAACACTATAGTACTGTAGTAAACAGTATACACGTGGTCACAACCCTAAGCAGTGTTAGCGATGAATCTGTTTAACGACAATGCAATGTCACATTTCCGCGAAATCCTCAAAAGGAGGCAAAAGCGAGTGTCATTGGGATAGGTTCCTTGCTAGAGTCGCATTCCCACTGAGCCAACAGATGGCGGTGATTCAGTTAGTGACAGTGAAAGTCGTCCTACACAATAACCCTCCTCCTCTCCTCTCTCTCGTCTCCCTCACACCAGCCACGATTAAATTTAATTTATAAAGTCGATTACTTAACATTAAATTTAAATAATAAAAATATAAAAAGGTATTTTGTATTAATCATTTTTACATGCATATTTTTGGGTTGTGGAACGAATCATCTGAGTTTCCATGATTTCTTATGGGGGAATTCGCTTTGACATACGAGTGCTTTGGATTACAAACACGTTTCCGGAACGAATAATGCTCGCAATCCAAGGTTTTACTGTATATGCAACATGCTCTTCGAGTGAGAATAGGTTTTCTACTTTTTTCTGGAAACAGGTGTCGAGATGTTAAAACACCAAACTGAAACCTCTCACAAGGAATCACGTCACTGCATTAACCACAACACTTGTGGTCAGAATGCAAACAAAATCACACTGATAATATGATGGCGTTGTCTTTGAAACTGATTGGTCCACACCAGAGACAGCTTTCTTTTGAGCCTCGTCTCAAACGGTGTTAGACCAGAGGACGCTAAACGGCGTGCTCTTCGAGTGTTTGTGATGATACAAAACTCCCGAGTTGCTGAGGTGATTAAGCAAGCACCATATACATGCTAATATTAGTATTATTATAACATAGTGAATGCTTGGGAGCTTATTGACTCTGGCTCCTAGTTAGAGATCTACCCAACCCGCAGGTCCGCAAAGACTGACCGCTCTTACTCTGCAGGTTGAACCTAGGAATTGAGTGTTAAACTTCGCGTTATTTTGGTTAAAGATCGTATAGACAAAATGTTACATGTGTGGTGGTCACTCTGTAAACACGCACATGCTACACAGTAACTACCAGAGCGAGGTCATTCATAACCCTGATGGAGACCCCGCCTGAGGGGTAGAGGCTGTGAAGTGTGTGTGTGTATGGGATCCCCCAGAACCCTGGTCCTAGACAGAAAGTGGGGTCGAACAAGCACAGATTGTTGGGCTCCCTGTGACCAGCACCTCTCCTGAGGGGAGGGGCCTGCGAGGGATCTGTGATCCCTCGGAACCCCCGCCCCTCGGTGGGAAATGGTATAAAAGGCGGGCTCCTGAGACCAGGAGGCAGTTCGTCTCAAGCCGAAGCTGTGGAGCCGCCTGAAGAGGAGATCCTGGACCCCAAACCCCAACGTCCTTCTGAGGGCCGGGGCTCAGTGCGGTGCCAGTGATCAGCAGGCTAGGGCCCTGAAGTTCCCTCAGCCCGACGTCCTTCTCAGGGCCGGGTCTGGACGGGCCAGTGGTCAAAGACCCACCGGTGCCAGCGGTGGGTCAGCCTCCCCTAGGTCCAGCTAGCCGGAGGGCTAGAGTAGTAGTTCGACCCAAGGCTAGAGTAAGCTAGCCCGGAGGCTGTACCTCCCTAGGTTGTGGGTAAAAGGAACCGTTACCCCTTCGTGTTAAGGACCTAGGGAATCGTTAAGGATATAAATAAAAGTTTAATTCCTACTACGACTCCGTCTCCATCTATGACTACTACACATGTACACACAAAATCAGACAAGTATTCATTAATTTTGATTTAAAGCTTTCGTGACTGCTACAATTATCATCAGGTGTGAAAACCACAGCAATAATTTTTTCTTGCTGTGGCAGCTGAAAAAAATGACATTTGATTAAAATATGCTTATTTAAATTAGGCTCGGCTTAATTATCTAGGGGTATATTACCAATTGTGAAAATAAAATGGTTGTTTTAGTGTAATTCTATCAGGTATCAGAATTCAGATCCCCTAGTTAAAGATCTACCCAACCCACAAGTCCACAAATACTGAGCGCTCTTGCTGTGCAGGTTGAACCTAGGTATGGAGTTATTTTCATTAAAGGCCTGTGACAAAGGTGAATCTATTCGGGCTTCATTGTCTCAATCTTACACATCTACAGGGTCTCCATTTGACTTTGTATTGTCTAAGAAGTCCACCCACACCTCCACTTCCACAAACTGCTGGGAGTTGCCTCGCTCTGCCTCACAGTCGGAATTCTCCTCCTGCTTCACGTTGCCTCCATTGATGTGAAGGTCCGGTTTTGGAGTTGAATCTTCATCTTCACATTTCACCTTCACTTCTTCACTCTTCACCGTCACCTCTTCAAATTTCACCTTGAAACATTTCATAGTGTCCAAGCTGGAATTCACTTCTGGTTCTTTTTTCAGGAGGGATGGGCTCATTGCAGCACTTTGACTTTCACAAGTCGATTTCAGACTACACTCCTTGGCGATCTTCTGATGCCTGTGTGTTCTCTGGTGTCGATGCAGAACTGATGACTGTGAAAATGCCTTCTCACAGACAGTGCAATTGAAGGGTTTCTCTCCTGTGTGTGTTCCCTGGTGCCTTTTAAGATCAGATGAACTTGAAATTGCCTTCCCACACACAGTGCACTTGAAGGGTTTCTCTCCTGTGTGCGTTCTCTGGTGTTTTTTAAGATTTGATGACTGTGAAAATTCCTTCTCACACACACTGCACTTGAAGGGGTTATCTCCTGTGTGTATTCTCTGGTGTGCTTTAACATAAAATGAAGTTGAAAATGCCTTCCCACACACACTGCACTTGAAGGGTTTCTCTCCTGTGTGCGTTCTCTGGTGTATTTTAAGATTTGATGACTGTGAAAATTCCTTCTCACACACAGTGCACTTGAAGGGTTTTTCTCCTGTGTGTGTCCTCTGGTGTGTTTGAAGACGTGATGACCGTGCAAACGCCTTCCTGCACAGAGTGCACTTGAAGGGGTTCTCTCCTGTGTGCCTTCTCTTGTGTCTCTGAAGATCTGATGACCGTGCAAATGCGCTTCCACACACAGTGCACTTGAAGGGTTTCTCTCCTGTGTGTGTTCTCTGGTGGATCTGAAGACCTGATGAATGTGCAAATGCCTTCTCACAGACAGTGCACTTGAAGGGTTTCTCTCCTGTGTGTGTTCTCTGGTGGCTCTGAAGAACTGACGACTGTGAAAATGTCTTCTCACAGACAGTGCACTTGAAGGGTTTCTCTCCTGTGTGTGTTCTCTGGTGGATCTGAAGACCTGATGAATGTGCAAATGCCTTCTCACAGACAGTGCACTTGAAGGGTTTCTCTCCTGTGTGTGTTCTCTGGTGGCTCTGAAGAACTGACGACTGTGAAAATGTCTTCTCACAGACAGTGCACTTGAAGGGTTTCTCTCCTGTGTGCCTTCTCTGGTGGATCTGAAGATTTGATGACCGTGCAAATGCCTTCTCACAGACACTGCACTTGAAGGGTTTCTCTCCTGTGTGTGTTCTCTGGTGGTTTTTAAGATGTGATAACTCTGCAAATGCCTTTTCACACACACTGCACTTGAAGGGGTTCTCTCCCCTGTGTGTCCTCTGGTGTTTTTTAAGATGTGATGACTCTGCAAATTCCTTCTCACACACACTGCACTTGAAGGTTTTCTCTCCCGTGTGTGTTCTCTGGTGTCTTTTAAGATGTGATGACTCTGCAAATGCCTTCTCACACACAATGCACTTGAAGGGTTTCTCTCCTGTGTGCGTTCTCTTGTGCTGTGCCAAACTTCCAGTACTACCCGTGCTGTATGCACACTGGTCGCATTGTTTATTTTTTGTACCGAGCTGCGCCGAGTGCCGTTGCTTCATCAGACCAATTCTGAAGAGGAAGCGTCAGAGGAAGAGTCAGCTGCAGTCATAAAAATGTATCCACACCATCTACGTCAGTATCAAGACACAGAGGAATGCATATATACAGTCACACATGACTTACACATCTATACTTATTCATATATTCATGAAACAGTGAAAATTATTCCCCAATTCATCACGCCGGCTGTTCAGGCACACAATGAGAGGGCCAATGGTCATAAATATTCCTGGATGCCCTAGTATCTTCAAAATGAATGTTTACCCAAAACTCCAAGCACACAATTTCGGCTGTCTAGCTATGAAAGGAATATTTAAGAAGAATTCAGCTATAATAGCAAAGTGTGTTGAAAATAATACTATTTGTATGATGCAGAAATGCATAAATTAATGTTCAATCGAAACTTCGAGGTGGAATCCAGGCTCAGATTTGCTTTAATGCTCGGATGAACAGATCTAACTTCAGCTGCATATGTGGTGAGATATTTTCCTGACTGTTTCCATCCTTACAAAAAGTCCCAGAGGAAAATTAAAATAAACTATTGTTTTGATTTAACCTCCATGTTCAATCGTTAATATACATTACTGCAAATACAAACTTGACATCGTCACACACTGGCATGGTAAAAAGGTGGTAGAACCATGCCTGGCCACCTTCATCTGCTCATTATTAATGCTTTCTCACTTCACCATGTAATTAATTTAAGATCAATCAACATAGCAGAGGCCCACAATAAGTTCAGCTTTCACTTACACTATGTAACACGATTTTTTTTTGTCGCCGGATGGCTAGTGTTATTTTTTTATTGGTCATGCCCACAAACTTTCCTTTTGTAACCAGGACTTTACGTAAAGGAATGACACAAATGCGCACGTTTTCTCATTGAAAATAGGTACATTTCAAAAGATCACTGTCCTGGTCACAAAGGCAAAGTTTGTGGGGAATAATAGCCATTTTCTGTACTTTTGAGGCATAAGCAATTAGAAAATAACACTTACTACGCAGGGACAATTTTTTTTGTTACAGTGTTATCAATCATGTTTGCTGTTGGCGATAATCAAACTAATTGTCGAGTTCATAATGCAGTGAAATAACTGCGAGATAAACTCTTAAATACACGTACATTTCACATGGATCATTAACATATTATACGAACAAAACATCCAACATTCATGACGAATTGCAAGTAACCTTTTCCCAGTGCTAATGCCGTGATAGGTGCAATTTAAGGCCATGTAAGTGTGGATTCCTTGTCAATAGGTAATGGGAATGATCCAGGTGTCAAGGCATGACTGACAGAAGAACCAGCTGTGCTCCCCACTGTCTTGCTGGGTTTGATGAACCCAGCGTTCCACCTATTATTCATGTGGGCGTTGCTCTTCCGACCTCATCGTTATTGCAGAGCAACTATCTCTTATCTGCCATGAAGCATACCTCACTGGGCCTCCTCCACAGAGGCCGATCTCCGCTCCTGGCACCAGTCATCGGCAGGTCCGATCACCTCCACATCCTCCAATCTCTTCTCTAGCCAATGCCTCGCCTGATCAGCCCCTAATATCTGGACAAAAAGCTGGTTGATCATGCAGTGTCTGGGAATGCGGGATTCATGACCAAACCAATGCAGCCTCGCCTGCCAAAGAAACTCAAGATTATATTCTATATTGATATCTAAGGGTCTGTAAGCTTCTAAATAGAATATAAACTGGTTGAAGAGAGGATGAATCATAGGCAGGCCAGCCTTCACTGTATAAGCCAGCACAGATGGTCATTTAAATAAGTTCATATTTTGAATCCACAGAGTAATATCTGTGGCCAAGAAGAATCACAGCTTTGTCCATTAGTTTCTGAAAATGCTTGTCCTGGTGAGGGTCACGGTGGCAGTACGCTGAGAAGGGCGGTCCAGGCCTCCCTTTCCCTGGCGACAGACTCCAGCTCATCCTGGGGAATTCCCAAGCGTTCCCAGGCCAGCCGAGTGACATAGTCCCGCCAGCGTGTCCTGGGGCAAGCCCTGGGGTCATCGCCCAGTGGGACGTGTGTGGTAGAGATCCAGGGGGAGTCTATTGGGGGGGCATCCTTACATATATTCTATATTGATTTCACCCCTAGAGCCAGGGCCCAGGGGTTGTGCTCACCAACAAGCGCCTCGTGACCTTGTGACCCATGTAGCTCAGTCAGGCCAACTCGAATTGGCTAAGTGGTGCCATCCTGTGCGTCGAACATCCGCAGGATGAAGGGTGAGGGGCGAGGGTGCGATGCCAGTATGGCAGGGAGAGGGATGGTCTCAGACGGACTTGACATTAGCGATGGACACACAAAGCTTAGTACGGAGTAAAAGTCCAGGCACCTTCCACACAGTGTTACACAGTCTAATGAAAGAATGCTGCTCGACTAATTTGAAGTGAGACTTTGGCTGCCAAACCAGAGCTGGTCGTGAACACATTAACCAGGTATGGGAGCTCGTACAAGACTTGTAGAACTGCGTGATTATTCATGGAGAGTTGAGCAGGTGCAGTGTTGTATGACATGACATTCCCAGGCAGGTCATTTATTTTTGTGGAACATTTGCAAGGCCCCATTTCATGATGGAATTATCAAGGCACAGAACAAGATGCCCTAATTCCATCTCACTGAGTAGCCATTACCAAATCATCAGCAGATGTAACATGGTTGACCAGCAGGGAACGATCCCTTAACTATAACCAGGCATTGATGAGCGTATCATTGTAACTATAACGAATGCAATGGTTTTCATATGACGATTTGGAGATTCTCAAACTACATAGATATTGAAGATGCTATGTAATGTAATGCATGGGGCCAGAGTGAATTTCTGTCACAAGCCAAGTTGAACAGGAAATGGCTCCGACTCCTGGTCACGCAGCTAAAGACTGTCCTGCCCAAAATCATACAAATCCTCAAATAATGTGAACAGAGGCATAGATTTGAAAACAAATAACCCAAAGCCCCAAGCCTCTTTATGGTACTACAGGCCTTAATTAAATTAAGAATGCAGAGATCTAGTTTCTGTTGAAAATCCGTACACCTCTGCTGTAGTCAATAGACAGAAGATACGGCAGCCCCTTGAATTTCGCGAAGGTTACGTTCTTGGAAATTGCTGCGCGAAAGATAAAAGCGCGATATTCAATACTTAAGCCTTACCAAAGTAATGGCGTTAAGTAAACGTCAACGAAATTTGACATCACATATGAATTAAGCAATGTACTGTATTCCAAATAAACTATACAATTGAAATAAAGAAGAAGAAACCGGATACAAAAAATATTCCAAGACAAAAAATTAGTATAAATCTATAAAGATAAAGCATGGCAAGACATTACTCTTAATGTTTGATTATTGAGACCTGTGCGAAGCCGGGTAACTTAGCTAGTAC